ATATATATATATATATATATATATATATATTTATTTATATATTTATCCTATTATTTATATATCGTATACTTTATTATCATTTGTTATATCGATCGAGAGTGTGATCGAAGAAAAGGAGAGGGAGAAAGAGGATTGAGAAAAAATCCCTATGTAATAAGAAATATCGATAATTAATCTTCTCTCGGGATTATTTCTTTTATTTTTTTAGATTATGAAAATTCAAGAGATATCCTATTGGTCGTCCTCCTTCTCTTTTATTTTATTTTATTTTTTTTCTTTTTTCTTTTTTTTTTTTTCATTTATTTATTTACCCTTCGATAAATAAATATTTCTCTAAGGTTAACTCCTAATTAATCGATAATATCATAAAGTATAGAATTAATCGTAAATGCGTAAAAATGTATACGTAATAATGTAAACGACGAAATTGATTGACGTAGGAATAAATAAACTATCGATCGTACAGATCATCAATCGATTATTACGACTATCATTTATATAAAGAAAAAGAGAAAGAGAAAGAAAAAGAAAAAAGAAAAAAAGAAAATTCGTTATTCGTAAAGATAAATGTATTCATCTATTTCTTTACTTATCCATTTGATAATGAGAGATAAATGGATGAGACGATCGGTCGGTTTGATTTTATGGTTGATTCTTAAACTCCATGAGAGGATTCAAAGTAAATTCTTCCGATGCAAGGAAATGGTTGAGAAATTGTATTGAAGCGAGTACGAACATATATGTGTGTGTGTGTGTGTGTGTGTGTATGTGTCTTCGCGTGTACGTATGTGTGTGTGTGTGTGTATGCACGCTTGCGTCTGTAAGTTAGAGAAAGAAAAAGAAAGAAAGAGACAGAGAGAGAGAGAGAGATAGAGAGAGATAGAGAGAGAGAGAGAGAAAGAGGATCGAATTTTTCGATGGCACGTCGCCGGTTTCACACCCTAAGTGGCGCGGTGTATCTCTGTGTCCTTTGGAATAGCCATGCACACGATCCATGGTGTTGAGAATCAACCAGAAAGAGAAGGAAAGTAGAATGTGAAGGAAGTGAAGGAGGAGGTTGAGGAGGTGAAGGAAGAGAGAAAAGAGGAATCGAAGAGAGAGAGAGAGAGAGAGAGAGAGAGAGAGAGAGAGAGAGAAGGAGCACTGTCACACGACTCACACCACACCTGGATCGAACGACTGAATAAAAGATGAGATTCACACCGAAGAGAGTCGCGTCCGCGGCTCTCTTTCACTCTTTTTATCCTCGATCCTTCGCCGATGCTGTTTCTCTTGCTGATACTTTCTTACTCTTTCTCTCTCTCTCTCTCTTTCTTTCTCTCTCTCTCTCTCTCTCTCTCTCTCTTGCTTTCTTTCTCTTTCTCTTTCTCTTTCTTTCTTTCTTTCTTCCTTTCTTTCTCTTTCTCTCCGTCTGGTTGCTAGTCTCTCAACTACCTTCCATCTTCCTTTGGATCGTTGCGGTTAATAAAGTGACTTTGCCCGTGAAATATTTTTCCTTTACTCCTCAAACCGGTCCCCGGAATCGTCACTACGCGAAATTTATTTATTTATCCAATAAACGTATCTTATTATCGAGAAAATGTCAAGGGAAGGGGTGGGGCGGCGAGCGGATTGGTGGGGGACGAGGAGAATGGAGAGATAAGAAAGTTTTATAAATAATAATAATAATAATAATAATAGTAATCATAATAATATGATGATAATAATAATAATAATAATAATAATAATAATAATAATAATAATAATGATAATGATAAAAGATGTGAAAGCTCGTTCAAGGGAATTTTCTTGGGTATGCTTAACGAAGGATATAAAAAGTGTAAAAATGAAACATTTAATTTTCTTCCTTATCTTAACAATAAAAAATAAACAAAATACAAGATTGTATTTGATCTTCGACTATCATAAATATCTTATTGTTTTATAAAAATGAGAGAAGATTTATATTAATAAAATTATATAAATCGTTGGTACGATTCTTTCTCTTTTATATTTATTTCAATTTGTCCGAATAAAAGAAAAAAAAAACAAAAAGATAAAAAAATTAAAAAGAAAAAAAAAAAGAAAGAAAACAATGAAAGGATATTTTTCAAACGTTTATGCCAATCTTTGAAGGATACGTTTTGCCTAATGCTTAGTTGAACGGAGTATATAATTCTAAAAGGGGTGAGGACGTTCGTTAACAATCTCTCTCTCTCTCTCTCTCTCTCTATCTATCTATCTATCCATCTATCTATCTCTCTCTCTCTCTATCTCTCTCTCTCTCTCTCTCTCTCTTTCTCACTCTCTTCTCTTTTCTCTTTTTCTTTTAGGGCCGTCAATCGAGAAGTTCGCTCCTTTTGATCTGACAGGATCTCTCGCGTCTTCCTTCCTCAAAGAGTTCCTTCCTTCGTCGCAATGAAAGAACGGAAGGATGGATCGACGGATGAACGGATGGACGGACGGACGGACGAACGGACGGACGGACGGACGGACGGACGGACGGATGAACGGACGGACGGACGGACGAATGGCTGGCTTCGGGGATTTGACTCGCGACGTCCACAGACCGGTTTCATTTCAAATTATGGTCTTGATGGATATCCACCTTGTCTTCGAAAATCCTTAAGAATATCTTTCAAAGTGTAGAAATGGAGTATTAATGGGAGGTGGAGGGGTGGTGTGGTACGATAGGGTGGGATGGGGTGAGGATTGGTATAGAAAAAAGAAAAGAAAAGAAAAAATCACGATCGCCTTCGGACACTTCAAGGATCGCGCGATGATCCATCTCGAGGGATCTATGATCATTTGAAGAGAAAAAAACAAAAAAAAAAATAAAAGAAAAAACAAGGCAAAACATTTTTGCTTTTTTTTTCCTTTTTTCTTTTTTTTGTCTTTCTCTTCAAAATTTGTAAAAGTTAAATCGTTTAGATAATCGTTTGGAACAATTGTAACATAAAAATAGAAAGAAAGAGAGAGAGAGAGATAATTGTTACAGTTAAATCCTTTAGAACAATTCCAACTAGGACATTGTATCAGATAAATCGTTTAGAACCATTGTAAAAGGAGGATGCATTGTAACACGGTGACAATGTAACAGACAAATTGTTTAGAATCGATTGTAACTATGTGAACGGTTTAACAAATAAATCAATCGTTTAAAACAAATTCAAACGAGTATATATTGTTTGGATAAATCGTTTCGATACTATCGCGAACGGAGGAGTGTCCTCTTTTTCTTTTTCTTTTTTCATTTTTCCTTTTTCTTTTTATTTCTTTTCTTTTTCGACGATGAAAAAAATAATCGTTTGGAACGACTTTAAAGGTCTAAATTGTTGAAAATGAAGAAGAAAAAATGAAAAAGAAAAGGGGGAACAAGAAAAGAGAGAAAAATAGAGGAAAAAGCGAAGGAAAAAAATGAGATTACAAAAAAAAAAAAAAAGAAATAAAAGAAAAAAAAGAAAAAAAAGAAAAAGAAAAAAACATTGGTCGACATATATTATTATAATGAATTTTATTAATAATCGAATTATTAATAATCTATCTTAATTAGAAGTTTCATGGAATTTTCTTGAAAAAGAGAGGTAGAGCGAGAGCGAGAGAGAGAGAGAAAAAGAGAAAAAAGAAGAAAACAATCATTATCCTTTTCCAAGTAGCAAGCTGACTTTTTCTTCTCGTTTCTACTCGCCTATAGTAATCTATTCGCACTCGATTCGCACCGGTTGCGTGCATTCTCTCGCGTCGAAGAATACTCGGCACGACAGGGAGCCGTGAAATGCACAGCTGTTAACCCGCAGCTAAAAAGCATACTAAATGACTATCGTAAAGGCAACATAATGACCGCTACGAGACACGCATGCCGTTGTTCCTTCGAAAGTTCATACGTATGTTTCTTTATTATTTCTTTCTTTCTTTCTCCTTTTCTTCTTTCTTGTTTTTTTTTTTTTTTTTTTTTTTTTTTTTTTTATTTGTTCTTTTTCCTCTTCTTCTTTTTCTTTCTTTTTTCTCTTCTCATTACATTTTTTTTCTTTTTTATTTATTTATTTATTTTTTTTCTTTTTTTTTTTTTTTTTTTATTATCCTTTTCTCCCTCCTCGATCCTAAACCAAAGCAAATATTTACTCGCGACTTCGTCTTGGTTTTTTTTCTCCTTTTTCGTTTCTTCTCTTTTTTTTTTTTTCGAGAATCGCCTCTTAGCCGACATTCTGAATGTCGATGGAAAGGTAAATCGTTTCTTTTTAGATTGAGAAAAAAGGGAGACGAAAAAGAAAAAAAAAAAGAAAAAAAAAAGGAAGGAATAATTTTTGATAAAAAGATCGTTCAATAACTAACGTCGACAATTGCAATATTTTATATGTAAATAAAGCGACACGCTATGGTATACCATATACAATGCAATATAATTGCATTGAGTGTATTGCCTGTATCGATATAACATTACCATTCGACAAATAAATAATAATTGAAAATTTTAATATTTCGTGTGTAAATAAGCTTTACTTATTTACTTATTTATAAGTTTTCTTTTTTTTTTTTTTTTTTTTTTTTTTTTTTCAATAAGCCATACCACACGACAGTTCTCAATAATGATTTTCTGTGAGGGGAAAAAAAAAGAAAGAAAGAAAAAAAATATCCAATTGCAATAAAGTACGCATCGTTTGCATCAAGAGTTTTGATCAAACCAAATAATTATTACAATTGAAATCTAATCAAATTCTAATAATTATGTTTACATGATATAAATGATATAAATAAATCAATTCGTTTTTCATATATACATTGATAATATAAACATATGAGATATACATAATAATGATCACTGTCGATTTATAGGATCCTGAAAAATCTCTATAGACGTATTTAATAATAATCTATTAAAATCTAATTGAATTATAGTATACAAAATTGATAATTTATCGTATAAATGTGATTTCGTTTTTTTTTTTTTTTCGTTTGTTTGTTTGTTCGTTACTTTTCTTTCTTTTGTTTTTTGTTTTTTTCTTTTTTTTTTTTTTTTTTTG